ATTTTGCTTAACTTCTAGTGCAATAAATCAAAATGTCAAGTATGTGTTGTTGAAAGGAATTTTAATACTTTAGAATTGATTTACACTGACATTTGTGATATGAAGTCAACACCATCTCGTGGTGGGAAAAAGTGTTCCATAAATTTTATTAACAATTGCACTAGATATTGTTATGTTTATTTGTTGAATGGATGAAGCAATAGAAACATATAGGCAATATAAAACTGAAGTTGAAAATCAGTTGGATAAAAAAATTTGTCATGATTAGAAGTGGTAGATGTGGAGAATATGAATTTTTTTTGTAGAAATATATTTGGAAAATGGAATCATCCATCCAATTACTGCACATTCTCACCTCAATCTAATGAAATTGTTGACAGAAAAAAACCGAACTTTGAAAGAAATGTTGAATGTCCTATTTATAAGTTCAGGTTTGCCACAAAATTTGTGGGGGGTGCTATCATTATAGCAAAAGAGAACAACAAAAAGTTTGTCTGTTCAGAAAGAGAGAAACAAAAAGTTTTGTTTGTTAGTAAAGGGAGTAACAAATTTTATTTTATTTTTTAAAAACTTTTGTTTGTTAAGAAAGGGAGCAACAAAAAGTTGTGTTTGTTCATGCTTTGTTGTATCCTGATAGAGAATTGTTTGTCCTCCCTTAAAGTCTATACAAGCAATAACTCTTGAAAGATAGTGATCTAACAATTTCCAATATAGTTTATTCCATATGAGAAATGGAAATGAGGGAACTATTCCCAAAAGGATCAAAATAGGACCTAAGACTGTAGATTGTATGTTCATTGGATATGCTACAAATAATAAAGCATGTCGATTTATGGTTCATAAGTCTGAACTATCGGATAGTCAAGTGAAGGGTCTAAACGACCTTGGAAAGAACCAAAGGAGAATGTACTTAATAAAGAGATTCAGATGCGTAGTAAATGTCAATGGACAAATTACTTCCTACGAGTTTGATTTTGTAACATTTCTTCTTGAAAATGAGTCTCATATATTCTAAAAGTTATGTCCTTTGTGGACTCATTCTCTTTGAGAAAAGGTTGTCAATAGTAAGATAGATTCAATCTTGAGCAACCATTCTTGAGAGTTGGTTGATCTTCCTCCAGGAAATAAACCTTTGGGTTCAAAGTGGATCTACAAAAGGAAAAGAAAGTTGATGAAACTATTGGAAAATACAAAGCAAGATTTGTTGTCATAGGCTTTAGACAATAAGAAAGCCTTGTTTGACACATAATAGCCACTAACAAGGATTACATCAATTCAGATGTTAATTGCGCTAGTTGCGGTATATGACCTTCAAATTCGTCAAAATGGATGTGAAAACATTTTTTTAAAATGAAAAATTGGAGGAAGAAATTTACATGGAACAACCCAAGGGCTTTGTGGTTCTGGTAAAAAAAAGAAAGTCTGTAAACTTGTTAAGTCACTCTGTGGACTAAAAACAAGCGCCCAAATAATGACATGTGAAGTTTGACCAAACTATGTTGGGAAATGAATTCAAGATTAATGAATGTGATAAATGTTTTTACATTAAAGACACTCCAAATCACAAGATCATTATTTGTTTTTATGTTGATGACATGTTGATCATCAAAAGAGACATTTCTGACATAAATGCTACTAAGCATATGCTAGAAAGTAACTTTGATATGAAAGACATTGAAGATACTGATGTGATTGAAAATGTACTCGACAAGTTCAAGCATTTGAATTTCAATATTGTCAATACTCCAATAAATGTGAGATTTGTACTTCAAAAAGAATGAAGGCAAAAGTGACTCACAATTGGATTGTGCTAGAGTATTGAGAATTATGATATATTTCATGAAGTGTACGCGATCAGATATACCATATGCTATTATTAATAAACTAAGTCGGTTCACGACTAATCTCAATCAAACTCATTGGATGACAATGAAAAGAGTTTTGGAGTATTTAAAACATACTTAAAAAACTATTGCTTTGCATTATAACTAATATTCAACAATATTGGAAGAATATAGTGATGCAAATTGAATCACCAGGTCAAATAAAGTAAAATCCACGAGTGGATATGTATTTACTCTTGGTGGAGGAGTAGTCTCTTGGAAATCATCCAAACAGAGATGTATCGCTCGCTCTACTATGAAATCTGAGTTTATCACTCTAGATAAGGTCGGTAAAGAAGTTGAATGACTCCAAAATTTCTTGAAAGATTTTTGGCCCAAACCTTTTAGCTCCAGTATGCATACACTGTGAGAGTTAATTTGCAATAGGTAGGGCATGGAGCATGATGTATAATGGAAATTGTCGACATATATGACGTAGGCATAATATCGTTAGAGAACTACTCTCTAGTGGAATTATCATAATTGACTATGTAAAGTCAAAGGATAATGTGTCGGATCCACTTATAAAAGGCCTAACTAGAGAGGGAGTTGATAGATTATCAAAGGGAATGGGATTATGGCTGAGAACAAGTCATTGTGGCGGTAACTCTACCTAGAAGACTGGAGATCCCAAGATCTAGGTTCAAAGAGATCAAACAAAGTCATTGATGACGATTCAACATTGTCAAAATATTTTTTATGGTTCATTCTCATGATAAGATAATGTTCAGTAACAAGGATAAAGGCATTAGGACTTTATAATGATTCCTAAGTTTGATACAGGGTATATCAAATGGTGTATCTACGGGATAACACATTTAGAAATCACTTATGTAAGTGTGAAGTGTAAGCTGCTTCAAGGAGAATCCGATAAGGCCAGTTCTCTACGCACTTATAAATCGAGACGTGTTCATGGCTGAAATGAACAAAACAATGAGAACCAAAAACAGTTCAAGGGTTGATTGTGTGACTTATGTTTTCTAGGTATACACCAAAGCTCGACGGTTCAAATATATCAAATCTATTGACCGAGTATATCTGATATATGTTCACTATGGAAAGTTCAAAGGGAAACCCATTTATCCAGAGGCAATCAATCCTTAATTACGAATCACACAGTTTTTCATGCATATGTTTTAACAATAGTCATTCCTTATTCATGTGTAGGATTGTTGGGTTTTAAAGCTGTGAATAGGAAATGAAGGGTTGTGACTCTCCTGAAGAGGTGTGACCTTTATGAAAGGTTGTGTCCTTTCTAAAGGGTTGTGACCGTTTGAAAGGGTATGCCTTTTTCAAAGTGTTGTGACATTTCTGAAAGGTTGTCTTCTTTCCAAAGGGTTGTGACATTTACCCTTTGTTGGCTATAAATAGAGAGGTTTTCTCTCATTTTTCTGCATCAAATTCTTTCCTTCTTTTGCATACATTTCTTACAAAACAAAATCGATCGTGTCTGTGTGTGTGATTCGTTGTTGTCATTTTGAGTTCGTTGAAATTATCGAAGTTTGAGGTACCACTACTTCTTTAATGGTTAATCCATTTTATCTTGGGAGGAATTAATCTGCAACCTCGGGTACTTGAGGGGATTAAATTTCTTAAGGACACACGGTGGGTTCTGTGGACTCGGATAGTTCTTTGTGGTTTTCTTTTCATCTTTTATTATTTCTGGTTTGCTAATCTGAATATAGGAGACAACACCTGGTCCCTATAAGATTGCGTATGTGAAAGGACGACAAGACAACTGTCAAAAAAGTTGTCACTTCTAATGTGGTAGGTGCACGTCTTTCCAGAGAGGCAGACTCTCAGCCAATGGGCGGTCCCAAGGAGTTTGTGTTCATTTTGATATAATCACTTAACACAAAACACAAACTTAAGATTCGGCAAACTAAAACTCAAGAGCTTAGAAGAGAAGGCCATCTTCAAGGAAGAACTCAAGCACAAGAACACATACAGCAAGGACATGATCAACAGAAGAAGTGTTTTCCGTACCTGCCACTGTTCTTGAATGTTTGTATTGAGATTAACTTGTAGGATTCGTTTCATTGTTGTTAGAAACGTTTCAAACTTTGTTTGAGTCTTGTAAGAACATAGTTAGGAGTAACTTTGTGTCTTACGGTCAAAAGTCTATATTAATCAGTGATGGTTAATATAGTGGGCAATGGATGCATTGCTTAGGCTCATTAAGTAATAGGTTGTATTACTTTGTTTAGAGATTATGAGGTTAATCTCTATGTGTGGTTGTAAACTGGTTTTTACTTTTGTTTTGAGAAGATTAGTGAAAACAGTTGAAAAGTCATGTGTGACAAGCCGTGGCTTTACTCCCTTGAGCAAAGAGGTTTCCACCTAAAACTCTTGTGCCTGATTCACTTTGTGTTATTCATTTTTTGCACTTTATTCTGTGGGGGACCTGGTCCTGCGAACACTGGTGGACGCGTACATTCCAACATGATCAGCTTCTTTGGTTACAAAAGTTAGTGGAAGAACTCTTATTGTTTGAAATGGGGAAACTTTTTTTTTATACTACCATACAAAGTTGTAATTAGTTTAGTTCAGAATTATGTTTAATATGACTAGACTAAACATATTGAAATTGATCGGCACTTCATCAAAGATAAAGTTACTAATGGCACCTTGAGTTTGCTTCATGTACCGTTAAAAAAACAGCTAATTGATGTGTTTAAGAAAGGCCTCAACAAAAAGACTGTAATATCCTTAATTGGTTTTTTTTTTTTTTTAGAAAATGAAATATTGTATTATATGTTAATATGCATCAATACAAGGTAGAGGCAGCTTGCTGCTGGTACTATATTGGGGCATGGGGACTGGAAGTTGAATGTTGATTGCATTAATTAATTAGCATGGTTTTAGGAACCTTACTTTTTTCCTAGCATAATTATAGGAAGAATATTCTATTTTATTTTAATTATAATTATCTTTTCTTAGTTAGGTAGGATTCACTTATATAAATACCCCATATGATTTATAAAAACATACTAAAATAGGAAGAGGCCTTTTTGCCTCAAATTCAATTGAATAGTACCCTGATGGGTAAAGAAAGGGAAGAAGAAAGGAGGAAAAGAGGGAAGGTCAATGTCAAGAGTTAATCAAAGAGTCAAATACCTGCTTAAATTGTACATCTTCTGACTCCTCTGGACTCAATTCTGTGGTATAGATAATATTAGTAATACGAGGTATTGCTACCTTATTAAAAAAAATATTAATACTACTCCCTCTGTTCACATTTAGTTGTCCAGTATTTTAAACATAAATTTCTATTTTTATTCGTCATTTTTAACATATTAAAAAAAAGACAATTTTTTTAAAATCTATTTTACTATTAACATTCATTACTTATTTATTATATCATTTCTCAAAATTGAAGATTATACATCAATTAATATAAGTAATATTGTGGTAAAAAAATACTCAGATTAATTGTTGTTTCTTAAAGGCATGCTAAAATCTAAGTGGACAAGAAAAAGTGAACGGAGGGAGTATTAAGAAGCAAAGAAAGTTGTAATGCTATTTTTTTTATCACTACTCATGGAAAAATATAGTCTTAAATGCAGATAGAATAATAAATGGAATTCATGGAATGACAACCTACTCTAAAACCTTGTTATATAATATTGTATAGTGGTGCAGCAGAAGTCCTCCAATCACATGACTTGTAATTAGAATTAATTAAGTTTTAGTGAATTAACCTAACCTAAAACGTTGAGTTTGCTAATTGACAGTGACTTAATAAACTCACCATATGATTCTGTAAAGCCCTGTCCTTCAATTGGTAGCCTGATCATGTCATCTGCAGCCATAACAAGTCAACAAAAATATTGATATGACAAATTGAATAATATGATTTCTGTTACCTGTAGCTCTCAATGAAGTTGGGCGTCTTTGTTGGGCCATTGCTAGGGATACTGCTCCATCTACCTTTTATTAAATAATGAATATACACATGTTACAACTTTGCACTTGTTCCACACCATTCACGTTATTTATTGACATAATACATAAACATGATTTTTAACTTGACTTCAACAAACAATTATGTCCTTCAACTTTGAGTGTGCACATATAGACACTTAAATTTATATAAAATTGAACAAGTAGACATACGTGTCCTACGTGACATAATACACGTAGGACCCAAAATTGTCATGTAGGGTGTCATGTAGGACGGATGTGTTTATTTGTTCAATTGTATACAAGTTTAAGTGTTTTACATATGCACACCCAAAATTAAAGGCTATATTTGTCAGCTGAAGCCTAGTATAAAAAAGTTTAAGTGTCTCAAATAGATACTTAAATTTGTATAAAAAAATACCTTGAGTGATGTGAGTTCTCGAAGAGCTTTATCCACTAGTAGCATGCTCTCCACATTCCCATCTCCCGAAAGTTCATTCAAATCATTGCCAATTGTTTCTCTATCCTCTCCGTCGTTGTAAACTATAAAATTAATACTTTTATTATCTCTCTATCCAACAATTGTTGTTCATTAGTGACTTGACGCACCCTTTTAGAAACTATAAATAGATGGATAATTTTACTATATCACTCTTTGAATATATAATAAATACAAAGTCTTGAAAAATATAATAAAGAAATGACTATAATTAATGATAAGGGTAAATTAGGAACTAAGTGCAACATTATCCATTGATTTAATAAAATAGACAAGTATTATTGAACATTCCAAAATAATATAGTGGACAACTATTGTTGGACGGAAAGAGTAATAATCTCACCTAATGAGTTGTCATCTTTAGATTTTTGTCCTGCCTCCAACACAACTTCCAATGGTAAAGGAGCTAGGGATGACCAGTATTCTTGTTTAGCTGCAGCTATATCAGAGTGAATGCCATAAGTTTGGCATAAAGTCCAATAGCGTGCAAGCCAACACCTCTTGAGAACAACCTCTTCCTAAAGTATCAAACTGTGAATTACATAAGTATGCAAAAGGAAAATTGAATAACAATAGAAATTTGTACACTAAATAAATTACATACCATCTCCTCTTCACTCAGTATCATTCTTCTGCTCATAGTTCGCAGAGACTATAACATACATAGTTGCAAAACAAATTAGCAACAACTTATATATTCTATCTACACCAATAATAAATATATACATATGTAAATTACCTCAGCTTCTGTCCGAAGAGCTGCAAGCTCGTCATCCTTTCCACCATGACTTTGTGCTGCAACTTTTAGAGCAGCCTGTCCATTTTCGATTTAAATATATCAATTTTCTGCTGAATGGTTTTAAAAGTGAGAGAGTGTTTCCATTAAATAGAGAGTATAAAGATTAAAAATCCCTAAAGATCCGTCATTTCTATTCCTAAAGATCAGCTATTCTATCTCTACAAATTTGTTATTTGTTCCCTCTAAATCTGCTTTGCTATCCCTCCAAATCAGTTATTCTATTACAATATTTATTTCTATGATTCTACATCTTGTAGCACTATATAATTACATTAATATATACAATTATTCAGCTTTCCATCATGCTAGCAATATACCCCTCAAATTGATGTTGGTGGACCAAGAAGCATCAATTTGCCTACTAGAAACTGATGGTGTTGTCGTGCCATGAATTTTGTTAACACATCAGCTATTTGAAAATCACTAGACACATGTGGAAGAGTAATGACTCATTTATCTACAACTTCTCGTATATAATGACAATCTACTTTGAGGTGTTTGGTTCTCTCATGAAAAAATGGATTAGTAGGAATCTGAATAGCACTTGTATTGTCAGCATGGAGAGGAGTAGGAAATCCAATCTCAGCAAGAAATCCACGAAGCCATTCAACGTCAGAGCAAGTAGTAGACATGGATCGATATTCAACCTCTGTTGAAGATTTTGACACACGATCTTGCTTCTTACTCTTCCAAGATATCAATGACTCTCCGAGAAACATGCACCAACTAGTGACTGAACGATGAGTGTCAGGACATCCCGCCAATCAGAATCACTAAAAGCATTAAGACGAATAGGAGAACCACTTTGAAAGAACAATCCATGAGTAGATGTTACTAGAATATACCAAATGATGCGACGAACAATCACCAAGTGGAGATGACGAAGAGTTTGCATAAATTCACTAACTTGTTGAACTGCAAAAGAGATATTAGGCCGAGTAATAGTAAGGTAATTTAGACTCCCAACTAATTGTCAAAATATAGTTGGATCAGTAAGAAGATCGTCTTCCTCATTACGATACTCCACATTCAATTCCAATGTAGTATCTACGGAGGAGGAATATTGAAGACTATCTAAAGAAATTAGTTCCTGAGTATATTTGTGTTGGTTTAAAAACACACCTGAAACATCATTATGAACTTCCAAACCCAAGAAATATGTAACAGTACCAAGATCTTTCGTATGAAAAGAATCTTTAAGCTGCTGTTGGAGGCTAGTGGTTAATAAAGAATCGATTTCTGTGATAATAATGTCATCTACATACACCAAAAGAAGAACACAACCTGTAGATGTATTCCGAAGAAACAAAGATGAGTCATATTTACTCTGCTCAAATGAAAATTGTAGCAACGTAGACCAAAACTTATCAAACCAAGCTCTAGGAGCTTATTTTAATCTGTACAAAAGACCGCTTCAACTTGCATATATTTGATGTAGGTAATGAGAAAAAAAAAATCAAGTGGAGGTTTCATATAAATATCTTCTTTAAAATCACCATGGAAAAAAATATTTTTGACATCCATTTGATAAAGAGACTAGTTTTGTGAAGTAGCAATGACAATAATAATTTGCACCGTAGCCATTTTTGCTACAGGTGCAAAAGTCTCCTTATAGTCCACCCCATACTTTTGTTTGTTACCAAGAACAACCAATCGAGCTTTGTACCGATCAATAGTTCCATCAAAAAAAAATTTAATTGAATAAACTCATTTACATCCAATTGAGCGGACATTTGAAGGACATGAAACAATGTCCCATGTGTCATTTTCTTTAAGAGCCAAAAATTCTTCCTCCATTGTTTTCTGCCAACATTCATGCTTGAAAGCTTTTGAGTAACAAGTTGGAACAGAAATGTTTGATAAAATAGAGAAAAAGTCATACCAATTGGGAGTATGAGATACTCTGGTAGATTATCGAGTAGGTTCAAGAGGATCGGATCTTGAAGAATTCTGATATTCTAGTTGTGGTGCAATTTTAGGTAGCGGATCAGTGTTAGGATGGGGTAAAGTCGGCCGACATCGTTAATACGCAAATCCAAATTTGAACCTCTTAAAAGAAGATGATAAATCTTCAAAAGTAGGAAGAAAAGGAGAAGCAGAAGATAAATCTACAATAGTAGGAAATAAATACAGATTCTCAAAGAAAACAACATGGATCATAGCAAATAAAACCTTTTTGTGAAGTACTATAACCCATAAAAGGAAATTTTGTAGACAATACATAAATTTTATTGCGCTGCGAAGGAGGCAAATGTACAAAAAAAACACAGCCAAATGTATAAAATCACTATAGTTAGGATTTTGGTGATAAAAACGAAAATATGGAGATTCAAGATTTAGCATTTTAGATGGCAGCCTATTAATTAAATAGACAACAATAGACAAAGATTTTATCCGGTATTTATATGGTACAGAGGACTCAGTCAATAAAATACGAGTGACATCTAAAAGATGTCAATTTTTACATTCAGCAACTCCATTTTGTTGTGGTGTATATGGGCAAGAGCGTTCTAAGTATTTCCTTTTTTAAGAAAGAATTTTTTGAATTCATAAGACATATATTCTCCACTGGAATCAGATCTTAATAATTTGATGCATGTAGAAAAATATGTCTCAATATAAGCCAAAAATATCTTGAACATGAAAAATACCTCACATTTGGATCGAAGAAAATATACCCATGTAAACCGACTATAATCATATATGAATGTCACAAAGTATTTGAAATGAGCATGAGAAATAATTGGTGAAATGCCCCAAACATCACTATGAATGACATCAAAACACCTTGTTGCACGACTACCAAAATTAGGAAAAAGAAGAGTTTTATTTTTGCGTAATTTACTAGTAGAACAATCAATGGAAGCAACTGAACATTGATTTTTATTTCCCAATAACCCGAATTTGATAAATGAGAGATTACACAACAAAAATTGGATGTCCTAAACGCTTATGTCAAACCTCAATTACTTGCGGTAGAAGTATAAGCAAATGATAGAACAGGAGGAATGGAAAAGTGTATAGGAAACAATCGTCCAACTTTAAGCGCCTTCGCGATTATTATATCCGACACCTGACCCTGCACAATAAAACCTTACGAGAAAAATTCACACCTTAATTGTTATCTACCAATTGTCCAACTAACATAAGACTAGTTGAGAGCTTTGGTGAAACAAAATCATTCTTGAAAGTTAGAGTAATGTCCCCAAACTTGGGTAATGGGTAAATTACTACCATTGACAATCTGTATTTGTGATGGACCTTGATACTTACGAATATTTTTTAGGATGCACGTTGAATTGGTCATATGATTGGAAGCACTTGAATCAACAATCCAAAAATTATGTAACATCATTACCTTTTAATCCCAATGTTGAAAATGTTGGCACGATCATTTGTTGTACCATTTCAGGAGTAAGAACTTGTCCTGAAGATGGGTTATCAACGGTGGAACCTTTTATCCCAGCTTGAAAAGCATTGACCCTACAATTTTGAGGGCGTGTGGGACACTCTTTGATAATGTACCCTTGTTACTTACCATAATTATAGAATTTCTTGCTACAATTGCTAGCAATATGACCATATTCCTTGCAAATACAGTATTGAGTTCTAGTCATATCCCTACCCTTTACCTTGAGCAGCAAATGCAATAGTGACATCATTTCTTTCTTAAAAGCGCTTTGGTGTGATAAGACGTTGCTCTTCACTAAGTAATTCCCTAAAATAAACATCCAAAGAGGGAGACGGGTCACGATTCATCAAATTAGAGCAAACACTCTCAAAGTCGGAGCATAATTTCATCAAAAAATGGTCTCGCTTGCTTTGCTCATGAACTGCCTGAATCAC